TCCCTGAGTAACATGAAACGGAGTCAAATCGCTGTTAATCTTATTCAAGTTGCGTAAATGATAGTGGATTATTTCGTACTTTGCCAGATTTAAACATTCAGAAAAATTATCATATATGAAAAATATTAAGGATAAAAGTTGGAATACTGAATTTTAGGAGGCGAACTTATCTTACATTATTATTGGGCTATAAGACCAATGGAGCGAACTTACCTTACACTACGATTTAAATGTTTACATGACCTCAGTTTCTAAAATAATTTCAACAATTTTTGTTGCAAAAGTGAATTTCCTACTTATTTTAAGTATATAAGGGCATTTTTGTTAATTTTTTCTTATATAGGCTTATACCATTGTACAATAAATAAACTGAATAGGATAAATTATATATTCTTGTTGGTGCGACAAATGTTGGATACTATATGAATTATTGTACAGTATATAACTCACGTAATAATATCTGACCTTACATTATTCAGTTTTATTTTTTCAATGTACCAAACATATTAACTATTACAAACAATAATATGTCGGTTATATGGAAATTGAATTTGGACATATTTAATTTGAATATTTATGTGATATTAATATTTTTTTCTTTTAAGAATTTTCCAAGAGAATAATGCTGAAATTAGTTATTGAATGATAGTTACACAATTCATTTGTAATCCAATTTGATAATGAATTCACTAATGACTCGTTCTAATATTTATGAATGTATAAGATCCTCTAGCTACCCAATAGTTTGATCAGTTCGGTCATTTCGTCTTAAATCATCAAGACGTCGTTTGAAAAAGAGTCATACATCATATGTTTAACTGCTAAGCTTACGTGGCATGTTTAATCCAGGTAAATAAATTGATGTAAAATATCTTTTTGGAATCGAATTGGTGTCAATTATATTTTTTGAGGGAACAAAATGGTAGTTTGTATACACCTTAAAAAAGTCTAAGAAATTGGATAAACTTTAGAAGAAATTAATTTTAATGACATAGCTTATTTTAAAGTTTTTCGTAAGCTTAAGACTACTCTTTTTAGCCTTTGAGAAGACTATTAATTTTTTTTTGTTTTTTTAATATTAATCCAATTATTTTAAACTTTTTAATCATATAGGTTAATTAAAAAATATCTTTTTAAAAAAAGTATAAACAAATGGGAACTTTAATTTTGTCTAATAACATGCCGTCCTCGTCCCAATTCAGTTGCCTAATTTTATTATTAACCCAAGAAATGCTCTGAGTCATGCAACCAGTTAGGCATCATTGACTATACGTGCATAATTCCAAATGCATTGCTACCAAAAGACAGGCAAAACTTTACCAAACGTTTCCTTTCCGATCTGACGGTGATTCAGTCTTTTTTGTTTTTATCTTCTTTGAAATAACATTGGGTGGACCTAATTCACGGTCTACATGATAAAATTAAAAGGAAATCATTATCTCATTTTACATGAGATAAGTTATTCTTACATTAAAAATTGTGCCATTTTTTTTTTTTAATAAGTGATGGGCTAGCTCCACCACATCATGTGTTTATAATAGGAAATAATTATCTCCAACAACATGAGACAACAGAATTCCAAAATTAAAAGGTCTAAATCTAAACCTATAAGTCTTGCATGAATTTAAAATGCACTTAGATCATATGGTAAATCAATAATTTATCCACCAAAAAATTATTTTCTGTCCTCATAAATACTTGAAGATCTTAGATTAATGTTGACTTACTTTGGAAGCTTTGCAAAACGATTTGTGTTAATGTTAGAGTTTGGGTTTGTAGTTAACAAAACATATATAACTACCATTTAGGAGCGAGGGAGTAATTAATAAATAAAATTGTTGTCTAACCCAACTCTTGCAATAATGTCTCTAATTGTGTAGTATAAATAAGTGTAGGCATGGTTAAGAACAAAATTGATTTTCTAACTGAAACCATCCTATGATCTATTATTCCTTTAATTTGAATAAATATTTTCACAGCCATATATAGACTCACAGTTTAAGTGAAAATCAATTGGCTCGAGAAATTGGACATTTTGACCCTTTTGTCACTCATTAATTAATTAATAATTATTTTGTCCCTTATCCAGAACTATCTACCAACATGCTCCTCTTTAATCGATTAACTTGAATATTTAATCGATTAGATGGTCAAAATAGACAAAAATGGTTGACTCAAGATTTAATCGATTAAATCTCCTTCTTTAATCGATTAACTTGAATATTTATTTGATTAAAACTTATATTTAATCGATTAAATATCCCAAATGAACTTGAAAATATTGATTGAATGAGACAAACAAGGAAAACTCGCTATTCAAAGGGAATGATTAAGATTTAATTTACTACAATGATTAAGTTTTGGTTGCCCCAATGTTTCTTTGAAATCTGTCTTACTTGCTGTGAAGAAATACGAAATGGAAGTATTTCAACCCCGGCTTGAACTGAAGTTTGAATATGTTAATAAGGGCAGTGAGTACATGCATGGTGGTCAGTCTCAACCAGTATATTGTGATTTAGGGACTTCAGAAGGTACTATTGAGATATATACTGATTGGAATGCTAACAGTGATGGAAGTATTAGATGTGCTCCAAAAGAAATGAGGGGTTGTTGTGACTATGTATTGGAGCTGAAGTCCATACTTCCAAATGTATGAATTTCTAAGTTGGAAGCCAAAACTCGTGACATGTTGAAGAATTTTTACAAAATTGAGCACAAAATTTTTCAGAAAGAAGCAATATAAGACAAATTGGTTCTCTTGAGCACAAAAGTTGGGAGCCAAAGGTCACTTGACGAGAATTATGTGAAAATTTAGATTCAGGGAACAACTCAAATGCATTAATAAATCAAGATTGGTTCTCTCTACGCAGTGAACCAACAAGTTTTTCTTGTTTGTCTCATTCAATCAATGCTTTCACACTCATTTGGAATATTTAATCGATTAGATATAAGTTTTAATCAATTAAATATCCCTCTTAATCGATTAAAGAGGGAAATTTAATCGATTAAATCTCGAGTCAATCATTTTTGCCTATTTTGACCATTTAATCGATTAAATATTCAAGTTAATCGATTAAAGAGGGGCAATTTAATGGATAATTTTGAATAAGAAACAAAATAGTTATTAATTAATTAATGAAGGATAAAAGTTAGGGTCAAAAAATCCGAGAAATTGATACTCCACTTCACTCTATATTACTTGTTTGGCTCATATACTTGGTAAAAAACCATATTAGAAATTAGTCATCAACAACCAAGTTTGACCGCTACACCTTCACACAACCATCGTTTTAGTGAACCTTACAGACTAGTCATGCACCACCCATTTTGAAAAACAATTCGTTTATTGAACATATTTAGAAAAAAACAATTTGATTCTTAAATTGGTTTGAAAAAAATATAATTATTTTAATGCAATTCGATTCACGACTCGTTTCGGTTCATATAATTTTTTTCACACCCCTAACCCTAATCATCATATATACTTCTTTTGTTTTGATCATGTATCTTCTGATGTTATTTTTTATTTTAGTAAATTTCCTTATTTTATTTCATCAAATTAATTATAAATTTAAGAGTAAATATCTTTTTTGATCCTCAGCAAATTTTACGATACCTGTTTTAGTCCCTAACAAATAAAAAGGTCCATCGTGGTCCCTAAAAAATTCAAAATGGACCCATTTTAGTCCTTTTAGTGACTAGTATGGGTCTTTTTTGAATTTGTGAGGGACCACAATTTCAACTAAATGAGTCCATTTTGAATTTTTTAGTGACCACGATGGGTCTTTTTATTTGCTAGGGACTAAAGCGGGCATCGTGAAATTTGCTAAGGACCAAAAAATGTATTTACTCTAAATTTAAAAATAATATAATCACTAAATAGTTTTTAATTTTTTTTAAAAAACTTAATTTTATTTTATTTTTTAAATAATTTTAACTTTAAAAGAGATTTTTTTAAAAAAATGATAATAATAATTCCTAATAGTCGTATTCTATTTTGAAAGGAAAACCAGTATCAATAATCAAAAGATAAACATAAAAATCATTAATGTAATCTTACCTGATATATATGCCTTCTCACATTAGAATTCACTGGATTTGAAGGGTAGACAATGCACGAACCCAATTACTTTTACTAAGAAACTTCACAAAATTTGATTAATTATTAATTAAATGGGAGGCAATGATCGAACCCGTATTTATGACTCTGATACCGTGTAAAGAATTAATTTAACCAAAAAATTTAAGCTGTTAGGTGAAATTATATTAATGATTTTATATATTTCTAACATTATGTATTGTCTATCTTCAACTCCAATAACTTTTATGTAAAAAGACGTGTTAGATAAATATAAAAATTAATAATACAACCTATTTAACAATATAAATTTTCTGGTTGAAATGATTTTTTAGGCCCGCAAACGATTGGATCATCCATTGAAAAAGGTAAGTGTTTGGAAGAAAAATTTCATTCTTAAGTAAGAGGTACTGCGTATATATACAAGAAATTTAATTTCCCACCTTCTCGCTCGAAGAATAAATCTTCGGTGTTACTGATATATAAAATTCAGTGTATTCTACTAATGAAAATATTATATGTCAATTAAAATTCTTTTTCTTCTATCAAATTTTTTTTTCTTCTCTGATGTATAATATTTTCATGGGTGGAATGCACTGAAAGGAGAGATGCACCTACTATTTATTCCTTCTATACGAACCATTGGATTTGCGTGAATCTCGAGTTCAACGCCATTGGTTGACTTAACAAAAGCATTCCACTTCCTTCTTTACATTAGAAAGTCTGATCTATGGCTAGCACTTTGCACTTCACTCGCTCTTAGCAGCCAAGAACCCAACGTATGTGTAAACACGTAAATCTATTACCGAATCTCTCAATTAAAAACCTTCCCCATTTCCCCTATAAATTGAAAGTGATCCAACCCAATTTCCAACACACTCAACTCTAGCAAACTAACCAGCTCTTGCTCTATCAAATCCCAATGGCTTCAAAGTTACGTAATTCCCTCCCAACAATATTATCAACGTTCCTCATTCTCCTCCTACCCTTACTTGCCTCTCTAGCTTTTGCAGACAACCCTCCCACAGCTTCTGTCTCTCCTGGAACCATATGCAAATCCACCCCTGACCCATCTTATTGTAATTCCGTGCTCCCTCCCCAAAAGGGAAACGTCTACGATTATGGCCGGTTCTCGGTCACCAAGTCCTTATCACATGCCAGCGATTTCTTGAACTTAGTTGACAAATATCTCCAACGCCGCTCCACTCTTTCCACCGCAGCTATCATGGCACTTGAAGATTGTCAAACCCTTGGCGAACTCAACTATGATTTCCTTTCTAGTTCTTCACAAACTGTGAACAAGACAACAAGGTTTCTACCCAGTGTGCAAGCTGATGATATCCAAACATTGCTCAGTGCCATTCTAACAAACCAACAAACCTGCATGGATGGCCTTCAAGCCACTGCTTCCGCTTGGAGAGTGAAAAATGGACTCTCTCTTCCACTTTCTAATGACACCAAACTCTACAGTGTCTCTCTTGCTCTTTTCACCAAAGGGTGGGTTCCCAGAACCAATAACAAAGCCAATACCACATTTCAACCAACCAGAAAACAACTTGGGTTTCGAAACGGGCGTTTGCCGCTTAACATGTCAAGTAAAACTCGCGCGATCTACGAATCGGTGAGTCGGAGAAAACTCCTTCAGGATACAACAGGCGACGAGGTTGAAGTGAGAGACATCGTGACGGTGAGTCAAGATGGAAGTGGAAACTTCACCACCATCAACGATGCCATCGCTGCAGCGCCTAACAAGTCTTCCTCATCGGTAGGGTACTTCTTAATCTATGTCACCGCAGGTCTTTACGACGAAAACGTGTCAATTGATAAGAAAAAAACAAACTTGATGATGGTTGGAGATGGCATCAACAAGACAATTATTACTGGCAATCGTAGTGTCGTTGATGGCTGGACCACCTTTAAGTCAGCAACCTTTGGTACGTAATAAATAATTTTCTTTAAAGTATATATATAGGATTAATCTTTATTGTCACTTGCCAAAGCAACACCCTTTTTGGTTTTAGTATTAAAAATAAAAAATATTTTGTAAATTTTACTTTCCTTCTTGTACGGTGATCGTGATAGAATAATATAAATCGTTAAAAATTATGTTAGAAATATATAAAATCATTAAAAAACTCTCACTTAACACCTTAAGATCTTTGGTTGGAGTAGGTTCTTTACCTATGAATTTTATTAAAATACATTTTATTTTCTTAATCTTAAACCATTTTATTTTTAGTCCTAAATTTCAAAACGACTTTATTTTGAGGTCGTAGAAGATAAAATTATTTCTTGTGACAATAGAAACTTTAATCCTATATATGTACCTGTTTATCAATTAATCAAAGCTTTTTAACACCCCTTATCAATTCATTCACGTGCTTGGTGGTTAGTGTATGTTTTGATTTATTTTTTTTTACATTATTCTGATGTATGATATGTATAAAAATGATGCAGCTGTGGTTGGTCAAGGATTTGTGGGTGTGAATATAACTATTCGGAACACTGCTGGGGCGGAGAAGCACCAAGCAGTGGCACTTCGAAATGGAGCAGATTTGTCCACGTTTTACAGCTGCAGCTTCGAGGGGTACCAGGACACATTATATGCACATTCACTAAGACAATTCTACAGGGAATGTGACATTTACGGCACTGTAGATTTCATATTCGGAAACGCCGCAACAGTGTTCCAAAACTGCAACCTCTATCCTCGTCTCCCAATGAGTGGTCAATTCAACGCAATCACCGCACAAGGCCGAACCGACCCGAACCAAAACACGGGCACTTCTATCCACAACTGTACAATCAGAGCAGCTGATGATTTGGCTGAAAGCAACGGTACAGTTGCAACATATCTTGGAAGGCCTTGGAAGCAATATTCGAGGACGGTTTATATGCAGACATTTATGGACAGTGTGATTGATGCTTCCGGGTGGCATGAATGGGACGGTGATTTGGGTTTGAGTACATTGTATTATGCTGAGTTTAATAACAGTGGATCAGGATCTACCACGGACAACAGAGTGACGTGGCCAGGTTACCAGGTGATTAATGCCACTGATGCTTCTAATTTTACAGTCTCTCAGTTCTTGCTTGGAGATGACTGGTTGCCACGTACGGGAGTGACTTACGCCAGCAACTTAATGTAGTGTATACATCTGAGTCTTTCAATTCTGTTCCTATTTTTAATTTTGCTTTTTTATTTCGTATTATTTTTTCTTATTCATAGAATAAGCAGGCGATGGAATATTACCAAATACCTGCAATAGTGCAATGTAATCTGACTTAATGTGATATACAAAGCAAGGGTTATATATTGAATTATTTGTTGACATCGATCATTGGGATAATAGAATCTTAGCTTTTCATACTAGAAAAGGCAAAGATCATTATTGATTACATTGCCACGTCCGCGAATGTTTTTGACCAAAACAATGTTGACCTCCATTTTTTCTTTCCCTCTTATAAGATTTTTCTTTTCTTCCGGAATGACAAAGAAGATTGAGTCACAAGGTTTATGTTTTTATACCCGTTTTTCGGTTTTGCTACTGCATTTGTTTATTCTGGTTGACATTTTAGCCGCTTAATTCATAATGCGTTGAAACAAATAAAATTGAATATTAATTTACATAATTGGAAATTTGGAATGTAGTATAATTCTTATGATGTATAGATCTTCAACATGCAAGAACGAAAGATGAAAAATCTTGATATGCAAGATGAGACAAGAAGAAGCCAACACGAAATTAAAGTGTTTCTGTATATTAAGTTAATGAACCAGTTAACCAAAGAATGATTATATACAACCCATGAAGGAGAAGAGGAAAAGAATACAAGAATAATGCTAACTAACTCTAACCAATCCTTAACTGCATTAACAAACTAAAACTAAATCAATTAAGTGTCATTGGGCTGGGCCCTTTCTTCTGTTAAGCCCAATTGTGTTGAAACCGGCAACACCCCCCCCCCCCCAAGCTTGGGCTGGGTTATGGATGTCCAGAAGACCAAGCTTGCCAATGAAATTATGAAAAGGAGATGGCAATAACGGTTTCGTAAAAACATCAGCAATCTGGGCAGTAGTTGAAACCGGCAACAGATGAATTAAACCGGATTGGCTCTTCTCGCGAACAATATGGAAATCAAGTTCGATATGTTTGGATCTCTCATGGAAAACCGGATTATGAGAAAGGTGGATGGCAGATAGATTGTCACAGAAAACCATAAACGGCTTTGGTCGTGGAATTGACAAATCGTGCAAGAGAAAAGACAGCCATTGAAGTTCACAGGTAATAGATGCCAAGGCACGATACTCTGCTTCGGTGGATGAACGAGAAACCGTTGTTTGCTTCTTTGATCTCCAAGAAATGAGTGAAGTGCCAAGAAAAACACAAAAACCTGTTATAGAACGACGGGTATCTGGACAACATGCCCAATCCACATCAGCATAACCACTTAGTTGCAGAGAAGAATTGGCAGGGAAGAACAAGCCTTGAGAAGGAGAATGCTTCAAGTATCTGAGGACTCGATTAGCAGCATCAAGGTGAGCATCAGTGGGAGCAGCCACAAATTGGCTAAGTTGATGAACACTAAAACTTATATCCGGACGAGTGGTAGTCCGGTATAAAAGTCTGCCAATAAGTCTACGGTATACTGAAGCATCTGGAAGCAGTGAACCCATATCACAGCTTAACTTGACTGAAGGATCCATGGGGGTAGAAGCTGGTTTGCAAGCTAGCAGACCAGTATCAGAGAGAAGGTCCAAAGTGTATTTGCGTTGATTGAGGAGTATACCAGTAGAAGAGTGTGAAACTTCAAGACCTAAGAAAAATCTGAGTTTCCCCAAATCTTTAATCTTGAACTGACTATCTAGAAAAGATTTCACCTGTTGAATCTCCTCCATGCTATCCCCAGTAAGAACAATATCATCCACATACACTAACAAAGCTGTAAAGTGATTGGCCTGCTGCTTTGTAAACAAAGAATAGTCAGCATTGGATTGAGAATAACCAAGAGATAAAAGAGCAGCATAAAGCTTGGAATACCACTGTCGACTAGATTGTTTAAGACCATAAATTGACTTGTTCAATTTACAAACCAGAGAAGGAGTCGAAGAGAAAACACCAGGTGGCAAAGTCATGTAAACCTCTTCATGTAGGTCACCATGAAGAAAGGCATTGTTCACATCAAGTTGCTCCAAGAACCAATGCTTAGAAGAAGCAAGTGACAACAATAAACGAACTGTGGTTAACTTGGCCACTGGACTAAAAGTTTCAAAATAATCCAAGCCTTCAGTTTGTGTATACCCTTTTGCTACAAGGCGAGCCTTGTACCTTTCAATGCATCCATCAGCCTTGTGTTTGATTTTATACACCCATTTACAATTGATGAGGCTCTTACCAGGAGGAACAGGAACAAGACTCCATGTATTGTTCTGATTAAGGGTTGCAATTTCAGTTTGCATAGCTTGCTGCCAGAAAGCATGTTTTGAAGCTTGTGTGTATGTGTGTGGTTCTCTGTGTGTGATAGTATTGAGACAAAAGGATTTATAAGCAGGGGAACATCTGTCATAGGATAAGACAGTAGATAAAGGATATATAGGATTGGAGGATGAAGAAATACCTGAGATGGACGGAGAAGCTGATGTAATGGAAAGGTTGCAGTGATAGTCTTGCAAGTAGTGTGGTTTTCTTCTGGTTCGAGAAGGTCTGCTAATGGGAGCAATATAAGGATTAGGTATGACAGTAGGAGGTAAAGAAGAAGTAGGTTGTTGTGGTAGAATGGAAGTATTAGGCCCAAGGGGAATATCATTGAAACTGTGGGAATCAAAAAAAATGGGAGAAGAATCAGAATGACCAAGAGAATTGTCTGTTGAAGTTTCTAAATCAGTAAAAGGAAAAATATGCTCAAAGAAAATAACATTTTGAGAAAGAAAAATTTTCTTGGTTTTGAGATCAAGGAGAATATAACATTTGACACCTTCTTGATAGCCTAGAAAAATAGTTTTATATGCTCTCGAGTCAAACTTGGTTCTATGAGAAAGAAGTGTGGAGGCATATGATAGGCAACCAAAAACTTTGAGATGCTCTAGGGAGGGTGGTTGTTGGTAAACGAATCATAAGGAGTGGAATGATTGAGTAAAGGAGTGGACAATCGATTGATAAGATGAATTGCATGACAAATAGCATAAGATCAGTATGGTAGAGGGAGATGAGACTGAAAAATGAGAGCTCTAGCTACATTTAAGATGTGTTGATGTTTTCTCTCAACAACACCATTTTGTTGAGGATTTTCAACACAAATCCTTTGATGTAAAATACCTTTTTCTTGATAAAATGATGTCATAGCAAATTCTGCTCCATTGTCAGATCTTACACATTTGACATTTTTCTGAAATTGATTTTCAATCATAATGATGAAATTCTGTAAAGCCTTTCTAGCTTCACTCTTGGTTTTTAACATCAAGGCCCAAGTAAAACGAGAAAAATCCTTAACAATAGTTAAAAAATATCTATGACCATGAATGGAAGGAATAGAATATGGACCCCAAATGTCTACATGAATCAATTGAAAAATACAAGTAGTTTTGGTATTGTTGTAGGAGTAAGGCAACTTATGTTGTTTAGCATAATGACAAGTGTCACAAGGATCAATGTCCTTAGCCAGAATGAAAGGAAATTTGATAGCCATATTTTTCAAAGTAGAATAAGGTACATGACCTAATCTATGATGCCATAGGCTAGAAGCATCAGTATTATTTGCAGAATGGTAAAAAATAGAAGAAGAAGAAGAATTCTTCAAGATCTTGAAATCCTTGAAGCCTTTTTCTCTACTTGAAGACTTCATCACATACAATCCTTCAATCTGATCAGCTGAACCAATCATCACATTGGTATTGATCTGTTTAATGAGACAATAGGAATTTCGAAAAATTAGATAACAAGATATGTTGTTGACTAATTTGGTGACAGATATCAAATTAATATGAAAGGAAGGAACAAATAATATTGAAGTGAGTGTCAAGGTTGGAGAAAACAGAACAGTTCCAGAAAAATGAGCAGTTGTGTGTGAGCCATCTGGTAAGGTGATAGAAATTGGATTGATTTTGGTCATTGAGATAAAATTGGAGGGAACATAACTGATGTGATCAGTAGCTCCAGTGTCAAGTAACCATGTGAAAAGAGAAATACCTGTAGGGTTGACTGTGTTAGTGTTCAAAACAGCAGTACGAACAAGATTGGTGGAACTGAGAGGAGTTTCTTCAACATAAGAACTTAATTGCAAACCCTTAATCAAATTTTGATATTCATCTTGAGGAATGGTGACCATGGCATCAGGAATATCACCACTGTCAATGACATCAGCATCAGTTTGAGAAACGAGATTAGCATTGGATGAAACTCTGGGCTTGAAACCTTGAGGATATCCATGTTTTGGTAACAAGTGTCAACAGTGTGGTTTGGCTTTCCACAATAGGTACAAATTTTAGTAGGACCACGTCCCTTATTGAAAAAAGAAGGGGATCCACGACCCCTACCACGACCAAAATTCTGTCTTTGGGAATTGTCAGAAAAGCTATTGAAAGCTCTAGATTCTGATGTGAGATCAGGTAAAATTTCACAATGCATTTGTCTCTCTTGTTGCATAATCAGAGAGAAAACTCGTATTAAATTGGGAAAAGGATCCATGAACATCACTTGAGATCTCACAGGAGCATATTGCTCATTTAAACCTTTGAGAAAACGAACCACCTGATCACGGTCCCTATATGTTCGCATCAAGGTATAACCTCCACAAGTGCATTGAGCAGCACAGCTACAAGCAGGTAAGGGTTTCAAATTGTCGAGTTCATCCCACATGATCTTCATCTGAGGGAAAAACTCAGTAACAGAACGATCACCTTGTTGCATTTTATATATGTATTCTTGTAAATCAGAGATTCGAAAAATATCAGAATGAGAAAATCTTCCTCGAAGATCAAACCAAGCATCACTAGCTCTATCTATCCACAGTATGGATTGCGCAATAGAACTACTGATAGAACGATGAATCCAAGATAAAACTATCATATTGCAACGCTGCCAAACTGGAAATGTAGGATCATTTTCCAGTGGACGTGCAAGAGAACCATCAACAAAACCTAATTTGTTCTTGGTTAAGAGAGCCATAGTCATGGATCTGGCCCAAGAATGATAATTCCTCTCATCAAGAGGAGGAGAAACTAACACCAAGCCTGGACTCTCGCTTGGGTGCAGAAAGAAAGGATTACCTGGATTTGTGTAAAAATCCGGGAGAATATTGTTCAAATTCGCCATGGAAGAAATGAACTTGCAGAAGAAAGATCAGCAAGAGATGAAAAATTTCAGCGGAAGGAGAAGAAATATGATACCATCTTATGATGTATAGATCTTCAACATGCAAGAACGAAAGATGAAAAATCTTGATATGCAAGATGAGAGAAGAAGAAGCCAACACGAAATTAAAGTGTTTATGTATATTAAGTTAATGAACCAGTTAACCAAAGAATGGTTATATACAACCCGTGAAGAAGAAGAGGAAAAGAATACAAGAATAATGCTAACTAACTCTAACCAATCCTTAACTGAATTAACAAACTAAAACTAAATCAATTAAGTGTCATTGGGTTGGGCCCTTTCTTCTGTTAAGCCCAATTGTGTTGAAACCGGCAACAATAATCCACCATAGTGATCAAAGTTTCAAAGGGAACAAAGGCATTGAAACAATTGAAATGTATCCCATCTTCGCCGCTAATCAGTATTAATTTCCGCTGGCTTCACTAAGCCTAATATAACAGTCATTCGACATATCTCTTATGATGATATATAATTAGGGAAAAGTTTGTGTAATTTTAAAGAACACAAACTTAGGTCTTTTTAAGAAAAAGATAGACACAAAGAGATTGGATCCATATTTTATTTTGTTTTTATTTTTTAGTGGAACACACACTTCTTTGTGTTTATATCTTCCTTAAAATGATCTAAGTTTGTATCTTTTAAAAAAATACACATTTTTTTTCATATAATTAAAAAACTTACCGTTCAAATCTAGATTTGAGTTTTGGATACTTTTTATTTTAATTAAGATTTGTTTTTATGACCGAACTCAAACTAGATTGGTTTCTAATCCATAAATAGGTAGAAAATTTTAAAAAACAAAAATATTTTTGTCTAGAGGTTACATGGGGTGGTGTACACGTTATTTTGAATATTGCTTTCCCAAAAAGATAGCTAATTATAAATTCATACCTACACTGGCCAATGGCCATACGTCGAATTATTATTTAATTAACACTGAACATACTTTCTCTTTTACGGTGTAAACATTAAACAAGACTTATTTCACAAATTTCTTGTTTTTGATATATCTTAATTAGCAGGCTAAGCAAAAATAATCAAATTGGATTGGTAACTAAATAATTAATTTTCGTCAGCACGTACGCAGAATAAAAGTCCAACACTAATTAGGCGAGGCCCTGATGCATCATGTGTAACGTTTGAATTAAATCCAAATTCATGCATTTACTTCAGACGCAACTCATTATCTTTCGTAATATTCAAGATAATTAAGTTTAACAATAATATCCTTAGTTAGCACATATTGGTAGTTGACCGCGTCACTTTTGTGACGTAAGCTGAATGACGTCGCGTTACTTCAGGGTATAAAAAATTCGAATTAACAATACTTGAGTTAACAACTCGAATTCACATTTAGAAAACACCTGTTCAGAGATGCCATGTGATATTATTAATGGACATGAAACTCGATGCTGATTTAAAAAAAAAAAAACGTTTATACTAAAAACTTAAAAAAAAAGAACAACAACAAGAAGGTAAGAAAGAACTCTGTTCTAAGTTCTAACACCTTTGCTGTTCACAATTCAATTCAATATGATGATGCTAAAAATAAATAAGTCAAAACTATCATGTGTGAGCGTTGAGACGAAAATACCAAGATAACGACAAAGAGAAGATCAAGCGAACATGTGAGAATTTAGGCTTCCTTTGCACGCATGGCGTCGTTGATAGCAACGGCAATGTTGCACAATTGGCGAAAGGATCTACTCCTTCTAGAGAGAATGTCGTCATCACCAGGAATGGAATCGTCACATGAATCAATTGCTGCTAATGCTGCCTGAAGCCATAAATGAGCATCATATCTGGAATTAGCCAATATGGAAGCAATAGTATCCTCAAGCTGATCTGCAGCGTCCAATAATGTCTCCTTGCAATCAGCCAAACCTTGTTGAATTGCAGGGTCCAAATCAGGGTTATCAATCATGCTCTTCGCATCATTTAGTATGCTTGAGGCATTTGCTGCTGCCTCCCTCAGTGATATCATTGCTAGGTCTTGTAGATTCGCTCTTGGACTAAGGATTGGGTCCGAAGAAAGGACACCCACGCAGAGATCCTTCGTTGTTGTTTTTTGACATACCTCGTTAATTAGGTCTTTTCCTCTGTTTTCATGTGCAACACTTTGGTGATGCACTAAAATGAGGCAGATAGCCAATAGCGACAAGTATTTTGTAACGGTTTCCATTTTTCTTTTCTTGTGTACGTTGTTGTTGTTGTCTTTAGCTTTTTGATACTTATGTTTCTGTTTATAAACTGGTCTGTGATGGGAGAGATGCGCTTGGCCTCAATTTTGTATGGTTTATCTGCATTCGTCGTTGAACGGTTATTGCTAAAATTAATCATGTTGTTAATTTAGGGATGGATAGTTTTTAAGTTATGCGACAGTGGACTTGTTTTGATCGTTCATGGCTTTTCTATTTTTGGCTACGCTATTTGTTGTTATACCGCACTCTCTGCTTAACAAATGTATAGCTTGGATTAGATATTTTGTTATCCTCAAAAATAAAAGCTAGTGGCCTTCTTTTGAGATCTTGATTTTCTAATTTGTAAGAGATTGAGCTCGACGCTCGTAACCATTTTGAAATGGTCAATAACGCACTTTAAAAAAATTAAAATAAATGTTATTAGATAAAAATTTATATTCACTGTATTAATAACTAATATGGAATTTCATATAATAATAACGAAAATAAGGTTAAAAAATATCTTGCTACTTGCTAGTACGTTTGTTTTAATCTTTTTTATTTAACTTGTATGAAACTGAATTGGTGCTAATCAACCCAAGGTGGTCGGACCATCCCCGGTTCCAGGATTCGATTTTCCAGCTTAACAAAAAAATTTTTGAAGTGTTATAGTTAGTGTGAGATGCAATCAATTATATATAATTTTGTTTGAGAAATATAAAATTATTTATGAGCCTTACCAACTTGAGCTGCTTTATCAAATTTTTTGTACTTTAAGAAAAACAGCCCAAGTCATGCTCGTTAATTTAATTTTTTCTTGACATTTAAAAAGGTTCTAATTTACTCTCTTTTTTTTTACTTTTTTTTTAACATGCAAAAAAGTTAACTGGTTTTTTCCTTTGTAACATTAAACAAAAAAAGAATATAACAATGTCTACTAACGCATAGGAGTGAACCTAGCCCAACATTTCATATTGGTAAATAGAGATTTTAAGAGTCGAAACTATTCCTAAACAAAAGGCCTGGATAATAATGAATTGTACCGGCCAATTGATAATACCCACTACTATCCACACATTGATTCCCATAATGTTCAAAAAAGAATATTAAACTGAGGCAACAACCCACCAAAATAAGATAGAAAACAAGATCCAAATTGATTTCACAGTCTCACACGTTCTAATTGTTTTACTTGGTATAGACTCAATTCTCCAATAAATTTCCCTCCCCTAGGTGTGAGTAAGTTTGGTACTGTGGCCAGTGAGTTGATGAAATTGTGACCGTTATGAGAATGAAAATCCCACACAACCACATATTTGTCTCAACATGCTACCGCATATTATCTTGTTTAGATTGTGAATACAGAAATTGTTAACAAGGGAGAGGGAATTAAGACATGCAATATATCTGGTTTAAATGGGAAAAAAAGTAGTGGTTTATATCCTATATATGGCAATTTCTATCTCGTGTGGAAGATAATATATGCTTCTAACAGAATTTTCACAAAAGGGATACAGGGTAGAATGCACACCTCATAGATACAAATATAGCACAAAGCAGAATCTATTACCATATATTTTCATTTTTTATTCTAGAATCTTGTATAAGGTGCCACGTTGGATTCAGTTGTAACAAACTTTTCTCTCATTTCTTTCTTTCCACCTTCAGTAGGAATGTGTATATAACAACACTCACATGTAAAGCTCTGATGCAATGAATAACAATATGAATTTTCACTCTCTCTTTCTGTTTTCTGTTTCTCAAATAATATGGTATCAGTAGACGTTTCGCCATTGCCTTCTCCATGGCTCGTGGCTCTAATACTAACAATACTGCTGCTGGTTCTCGTCCAGCTACTACATCTTCTGCTTCTTCTTCCTCTGTATCCATGGAGGATTCAAGTAGTCCTTATTTTTTGAGCAGTGGTGATCATCCTGGTCTCACTCTCGTTTCTCATGTTCTTCTTGGATCTAATTTTCATTCATGGAGCCGCGCTATGATGATTGCATTATCACCGAAAAACAAATTGTTTTTCGTTGATGGTTCCCTTCCGCGCCCTGTTTCTGATGATCTCTTATTTCAGTCATGGAATCGTTGTAACTCCATGGTAACATCTTGGATCTTGAACTCTGTCTCGAAGGATATTTCTGACAGTCTTCTCTATTTTTCATCTGCATCCGAAATATGGACGGATCTTCGTAATCGTTTTCTTCAAGCCAATGGTCCAAAAATATTTCAGTTGAAGCAACAGATAGCGTCTCTTACTCAGGGTAGTCTTGATGTTAATGGATATTACACACGTCTTAAGATTCTTTGGGACGAATTCCAGGATTACTCTCCCATTCCTGCCTGTACTTGTGGTGCTTCACGCCTGATTTCAGCTTCTCACCAACAGGATCATGCTCTCCAATTTTTGATGGGACTGAACGATTCTTTCTCCTCTGTTCGGGCTCAAATTTTGCTCATGGAGCCCCTTCCACAATTATCAAGGATCTTCTCTCTCGTGCTTCAGGAGGAAAAGCAACGTCAAATTACGTGCCCTCTGCCGGTGTTACCTGATTCCCCTTTGCTTAACTCTGCATCTGCTGTGGCTTCATCCCCGATTCCTGGTTCTGCTCCAATGGCTGCCATATCTTCTGCTCCGTTTCGCAGATCTCGCCCTCAGTGCACTTACTGTCACAATTCTGGTCACACAAGGGAGAAGTGTTTTAAGCTTCATGGATTTCCCCCTGGGTACAAGCCCAAGTTTGTGCGGCCCAATCCACTAACTCCATCAGCCCATGCTATTTTTAACTCCCCTAATCCCACTATAGCTGAGTTACCTAATCCCACGTTGACTCCCTCTCAATACAACCATCTCTTAAGTCTTCTCCCACCTACCGTTCCGTCATCCTCATCCCCATCCTTCACGCCACTGCCACTTGCCACCGAAGCTTCTCCTTCTGTTGCCAGCTTTAGCGGTAGGTGTTCTCCTTCGTTTCCTTTGACCTCTTGGGTTCTGGACACGGGTGCTACACATCATGTCACATGCACACCTCAATTTTTCATTTCACCACCTCACACATCTGATTCGGTTGTTTCTTTACCCAACAATACTTCTGTTTTTGTTCAATCTATTGGTAGCATCAAACTTTCCCCTTCCATTATACTACATAATGTCTTATATGTACCTTCTTTTTCATTTAATCTTCTATCCATCAGTGCACTCACTCGAGACTCTTCCATTGTTGCTAATTTTTTTTCTTCCTCTTGTTCTCTTCAGGACCTTTCATCGGCCAAAGTGATTGGGACTGCTAAGAGACTTGGTGGTCTTTATGTTTTAGATGCTTTATCTTTTTCCCATTTTAATGTCCCCCCATCCCTTTGTTCCACTGTTGGTATGCCTTCTTCTGTTGTTTGGCATTTTCGACTTGGTCATTTGTCTCATCCCATTTTGCATTCAATGAAACAAGATTTACATTTTACTGATAACAATTGTGTCTCTTCTCCTTGCTTGATTTGTCCAATTGCTAAACAAAGAAGATTGCCTTTTATACTGAATCCCAAAATGTCTAAGTTTTCTTTTGATTTGATCCATTGTGATATCTGGGGTCCTTTTCATGTTCATTCAGTTGATGGTTATAAATATTTTTTGACCTTGGTAGATGATGCTACCCGATTTACTTGGTGTTATTTTTTGAAACAAAAGTCTGATTTTCATACTGTTTTTCCTCAGTTTTATACACTCATGCTCACACAGTACAACCTTCCAATTAAATCAATCCGTTGTGACAATGCCCCAGAATTTCACTTATCTGATTTCTTCTCATCCAAAGGTCTCCAAATTTTTCATTCCTGTGTTGATAAACCACAACAGAATTCAGTTGTGGAAAGGAAACACCAGCATATCCTCAATGTAGCAAGAGCCTTGCATTTTCAATCCAACATACCTTTGATATATTGGCCAGAGTGTGTCCTCACATCCATCTATCTCATTAACCGAACCCCATCTCCACTTTTACACAATAAAACCCCTTTTGAACTTCTTTGTCACAAGTCTCCTAAATATGATCACCTTAGAGTTTTTGGGTGTCTATGCCATTACTCCACCTTGTCCAGAACCCGTCATAAATTTTCCCCAAGATCTTTACCTGCTGTGTTCATTGGCTATCCTACTGGCACTGCCTCCTGGTAAACCTGTTGTAGGTTGTAAATGGGTCTATCGTGTCAAATACCATTCAGATGGCTCTCTTGAACGTTTCAAGGCTAGACTTGTTGCTCAAGGTTTTAAGCAACAAGAAGGTATTGATTTCTTTGATACATTTTCTCCTGTGGCCAAGATTACTACTGTCAGATTACTCCTTGCTCTTGCTGCTATAAATAATTGGCATCTCCTCCAATTGGATGTCAACAATGCTTTTTTGCATGGGGATTTACTTGAGGAGGTATATATGACAATTCCTCCTGGATATTCTAGTAAGGGGGAGTTGCCTCCTAATGCTGTTTGTCGTCTCACTAAGTCTCTTTATGGTTTGAAGCAAGCTTCTAGGCAATGGTTTGCCAAATTTTCCAACACTGTTCTTTCTCTTGGTTTTACACAATCTCAGTCTGAAAATTCTTTATTTGTCAAGAAGAATGATACTCTCTTTGTTGCCCTGTTGGTTTATGTTGATGATATCCTTGTTTCTAATGATTCCTCTGAGTTGCAGCAGTTAACTTCTGTTTTGGACAGCAAATTTAAACTCAAAAATCTTGGAGCTCTCAAGTATTTTCTTGGATTGGAGATAGCTCGTTCTCCAAAGGGTATTTCTCTTTGTCAACGCAAATATGCCTTACAAATTTTACAGGATTCAGGGCAACTTGGCTGCAAACCGCATACCACACCTATGGATATTAATCTTAAACTATCCCTGCATGAAGGTGACCTGCTGCCTGATCCAAAGCAATACCGTAGACTGATTGGTCAACTGCTCTATCTTACTGTATCTCGGCCTGACCTCTGCTATGTGGTGAATCACCTAAGTCAATTCATGTCATCACCAAGGATTCCTCATTTACATGTTGTTTATCGTGTTTTAGCTTATCTCAAATCCACTGTTGGGCAAGGTGTTTTTTTCTCATCTTCATCTTCTTTGCAATTAAATGCTTTTTGTGATTCTGATTGGGCTTCTTGCCCTGATAGCCGCAAGTCTACATCCGGTTTTTGTGTTTTTCTTGGTAATTCTTTAATCTCATGGAAGTCCAAGAAGCAAAATATTATTTCCCGGTCTTCGGCTGAGGCGGAATACAGATCCATGGCTGTTACTACTTGTGAATTGTTGTGGCTTCTCTCCTTATTACGTGATTTACATGTTGCTCATACTGGTCCTGCACATCTGTTCTGTGACAGTAAGGCTGCCCTTCATATTGCTGCAAATTCTGTGTTTCATGAGTGCACAAAGCATATTGATATTGATTGTCATCTTGTACGGGAGCACATTCATAAAGGAACTCTACGCACATTTCATGTCCCTTCTTCCAGCCAGCTTGCAGACTTGCTCACTAAGGCTTTACCTCCTACTCCTTTTCATTCACTCCTTTCCAAGATGGGAGTTTTCAATATCTACTCTCCATCTTGAGGGGGAGTATTACCATATATTTTCATTTTTTATTCTAGAATCTTGTATAAGGTGCCACGTTGGATTCAGTTGTAACAAACTTTTCTCTCATTTCTTTCTTTCCACCTTCAGTAGGAATGTGTATATAACAACACTCACATGTAAAGCTCTGATGCAATGAATAACAATATGAATTTTCACTCTCTCTTTCTGTTTTCTGTTTCTTAAATAATAAATAGCAATAATAACTAATCCAGATAAAATAAAAGAAACCAACCAAAAAGGATATTCATTCAATGGAGTTTATGGGCGTAGATCCTCTTCTTCTTTTTCTTATTATATCGGAGAGAGTCATGTTACAAGCTGATTCTATATAAATTTTGTGAATACCTTATACAAATAAAGGTGCGTTCGACCCTCTCTGTTTCATGGCAGGACTTTTTCCTGGTCGTTATTAAAAGAAGAGGATCCAGATATGGAGAACAAGCATTTAGCACATAAAAAAAAACTCGGAGGTTGGAGATTCCAATCAGTGTTTTAAAACCCGACTCGGACCGGCCGGGTCGACCCGGGACTCGGAGATCCGGTGGGTTCCCCGGTCCGAGCAGGTAGTTGGATCGCTTCTGCAGTCAACTTGGATTGGACCGGTTGACTCGGCCGAAACTCGGTTGACCTGGGTTAGACCGGTTATTCGTTTTTTTTTTTTGGTAAAAATTTTTTTTGTTGATAAGAACTCTTGAATTAAATCATATTCATATTTTACGATGAATATGATTAGAAGTAAGGTAAAAATAATAAGGTATTTTAGATTAGTGCAGTTCGTTTATGTAATTTAGTTGTATCTTATAATGATCTCATGAAGTTAAGTGGTGATAAACACTGATGGTCTCATGATAGCATCTCAACGATGGACACTTTTTTTTAGTGTATATTTCATGCATACTATTTGTTATCATGATAACGGTGACACTCTTTTCTTAGTGTATATTTCATGCATACTATTTGTTATCATGATTTAATTTATCCGTATCATCTCAAGCACAAAAGGTGCATTTAACTTATATTGCAATTTTAATCCAATATTAGAATATGATCTAGAGCTAGAAGCTTAGAAGTATATAATATTTGCTATCATTGAAAATCAATTTATTTTTTGAAGCTCATTGATAGTTTTCTTATGTGAATTTTTATTAATATAAGTAATATTTTTATACTTTTAATATGTGAACAGTAAATCCAGTTCAACCGGATTCAAAAACCTACTACCTCGACCAGTTCAATGACCGATCCGAGTTTTAAAACACTGATTCCAATCATCTAATCTAATTAGAGATTTGATTTAGGTGGTGAGGTGAAAAGGAAAGGCCCCACGGTGTACAATTTCATCTTCGTGTCATGGTGGAAGCGATAAGAATGCAGTATAGCACCACTAGATATTATGCGGTGCTTATCCTTTTTGGAGTTGGACTTAAGCCCATATAGTAACGGGCTTAATTGCAATGATATTGGGATCTAATACGATTGTGTTGTAAAAGCCCATTCAATAAGTAATGACATTGTTCTACTAAAAAAAAAAGCAAGTAATTTCATTGAACAAACGACTTCCCTAAACGTCCATGATAAGACCCTCAATTTTAAGTTGTTTCACTAGGCTTCTCTTGATAATCCAAAAAGTTAAACTATTTTCACCTATTTTGCACCGACACCGATATGAAACACAATATTTTGATACGTTAATTCTTAAAAATGTTAGATTTCAATATGTTAAGACACATTTTGATATTGAATAATATTTTTAATTTATATAGTGTATATTATATTTAATATTCAATAGTTTAACAAAAAAATTGAACTAAACTTATAATACCCTAAACTCCACAAAATAGTAATAGTAATATAACAAATCTAATAGTTAGAACTAAAAATGCAGCACAACTTTTGAACCCTTTTTGAGTCTTTGCAATGCGTGTTGAAGTATAAGTGAGTGTCGAAAAATATCGGAAACGACACATCAGATTTTTTTAAGTATTGATACATCATAAATTTCCACAGCTTCTACTGTCATGTTTTTGTACTAGGGGTGACAATCAATACGTATCAATTTGTTCAATCAATTTGTTCAATGTAATGAATAGAAAGTAATAAACTAATACAGCAAGCCTTTTTTTTATATTTATTTTAGACGAGTCGACATCAGATATTTCAACAAGCTTCAACTTTTTAAGTCAAATTAATACTGAATCGAAACTTAGTTACAGTTAAAATTATTTATCCCTCCTCAAAAATATATTTAATAGGAATCAAATCCAAATTATTTCCACAATCTATTCAATCTATATTGTTAACGAGTTACTTGCGTTAACAAGTCTCTTGTCAAGTAAGCTAATTGGGTTAACAAGTCTCTTGTGAGGTGTATCCAACCCATTGAACCGAGGTACCCAAAGTCTATATAGAACGCTGAAAAAGAAATAAAACAAATCCAACTTACATCCGTACACGTGGATAATATATGATTTGGGAAATCAAAAATGTCAGTTTGAAGAAAATTGAATTTGTTTTCTGCTTCCTGAATAAGGGTCCGTTTATATCGATTTTTTTTTCTCCAAAAGCTTTTTTTTTTTTTTTGAAAAAAATCACTTCTCATTTTTAACGCATTTGGATGTTGCTTTTAAAAATAGCAGAAATCACAAAAAAAGTCAAAAATCTACTTTTTTTCAGAAG